GGTTTCACCTGTAACAGGCTCTGCAAATCTGTGCTAGCCCCCAGCCATGTTCGTAGGGCTCTAGCACGGCAGCTCTGGGGTCCTGCCAGAGAGAAATGCAGCTGTTATACCAAAGGCCTCATCTCTCCTCTGGCTTCTTTCGGAACAATATTTATTTAGGTGTGTTTTTTTGTTCTTTGTTCTTTTTTTTTTAACTGGACTGCGAAGCAAAACCCCAGGCCCTGGCAGCTTTCCTGAGCACGAGACAGAACCGTGGGCTAAAGAGCTGCAGGAGCAGCCCCTCGGTGAAGGGAACGCAAAGCAGCCGAGAGCGCCTGGCATCCTCTTCGTATCTGCTTAACCCTGTAAGCGAGAGGGCTGAATAAATAGTGTTTCTACCACACACTAGTTGGGAGGTTTTTCTCTCCGTGCTGCCTGCCTCTCCTCCTAGCAATGGATTGGCCCTGGAAGCTGAGCTCAGCGCGGAAAAAGAGTGCTCCTTCGTCCTTTGTTGCTCGGAGTTGCCTTCTGGGTGCTGAAACTCTCACGGCGACGCTCTTTTCTGTTGAGCTGATCCAGGATTAGGTTTTTGTGGTGCAGCAACGTCCCACCACGATGCTGGGTGAGCAGCCGGGGGAGAGGGAAGGGGCAGGTGCTGCAGCTACCTCTGCTGAACGGCAGGAACAGCCCCACCGCAGGGCTGCTCCACTTTGGAACTGGAAGCCTCCTGCTGCAACTACTTCTCCTCCTTCTGCTTTGTTAGGGGGGATTTTCTATGGCAGGAGGGTCTTTGTTCCTCCAACTGCCCCTGCTTAGCCCGGGTGCAGTTCAGGAGCCAGCAAGAACAGCAGCTCCGGGGGAAACAAAGGTCTTTTTTGCATGCAAATGCTCCCGGAGAATGGCAGAGACTGCGGCACAAAGCAAAGCGGGTTGCTGAGGGCTGCCTTCCCCTCCCGTTACCCCCCAGGCTGGAGTTCAGTGACCGCCCTATGTTACATATGAACCTTACACTATTTTTTTATTTTATTAGAGTCTGTCCCACGGCCCTGTGGCGGGGAGCAGCTCCTTGCAGGGCTCCGTGGCTGCCTCGCCCAGGAGCATGGTGTGCGGTGGCAGCTCCTTGGGCTCTCCTTGGTTTTAGTTTTCCCTTACCCCTCAATAAAAGCTCTACTTTTGGGAAGCTGCCCCTGCCCCGCGGGTCTCTGCTTCCTGCGCTGACCCTGGCACCGAGGGCTGCGCAGCCTCTGTCCTGTTCCTGTGGGTCTCTTCTTGGGAGCAGCACTTGGGGCGTGGGGCTTGGTGCAAGGGGGGCTGCCCTGAGTGTGCTCCCGCTCCCTGCTCCCCCTGGCATTTCGGCTGGCTCCGTGCCCGCTCCGGAAGCAGCAGCGGGGTGGGATGTTATCCCACTTGGCACGGGGGCAGCCTGCGCTTGGCTGCTGTCGCCCCGGCTCTCCCCACCTCTGCGTTCGCTGCTGGCGCGGGAAGGGGGGTTGTGGCAGGCGCTGCCTTTGTGCAGGACCTGAGGCCGCCTCTTGTCCCTCTCTGAGAGCTCCGGGTGTTTGAAGAGCCTCCAGGGAGGGACAAAGCCCCTGGCAGGGCAGGAGCGGGAAACGGGGCCGGAAAGGGAGCGTCGCTCCCCAAGGCGGCTCCGGGTGCCTGTCGTGGAGCTGAGCAGCAGCTGGGCACCCGGGGCTGCCTTTGAGCGGGGGGACGGGAGCAGCAGCTCCGTGGCAGCCCCGGGCGCACGCGGGGACCCTGTGGACACAGAGCACCCACCTTGCTGCCTTCCCACCCCGCTCCCGGTGCCACCAGCATCGCACGCGGCTCCAGCGACCTGCTTTATTACACAGCGCACACGGGGCTGGGGCGCAGCCACGTCCGCAGCACCGAGTCTCACACGGGCTCCAGCTCCCCTGGGGGCTTCAGCCTCTTCTTTCTGTTTCTCTCCTTCCTCCTCCTCTTCCTCCCGGCCGCCGGGGCCGTGGAAGGCAGAGCCGGGGCCGACTCCTTCCCCAACCCGTCTCCATTCGGGGCATCGCTCAGCGCAGCATCAGGCACCTCCTCCTTGCCCGCCACGTCCAGGCTCGCCAGCTCCACGCTGCCCCGGCGCTCGGGGGGCTCAGCTGCAGAGGGGCTCAGCCGCCCCTTGTCCCAAGGGCCTTTCTTCCTCAGCCCTTTCCCCTTCTTCTTCCTCCTCTTCTCAGCGGGGGCGGCCGGCAGGGTTGGCAGCGGGCGCTGCCCCAGCGCGGGCGCGCGGTGC